GATCATGTAGTACCAGCTCTGACCTTGTAAGTAATATGAATCCATTGTAACATTTAGCAATTGTAATAGCCTTTTTTATAATATTTAGCAACCAATAGCGTTTTGTGTAGTATTGTATTGTATAATTATTGTGGTAAATTGACATTCCGCTAGCATCTGTTTATTTATTATAGTTATATTAAATATACATTTAATATTACAACGTTTTGTGTATTTTCTATCCACATATTCGACCATAATACCATGAATTATAAAAATATTAATGTTGTTCCGTATTGCTTAATTATTATGTATTAAGAGATTAATATTCATATTTAAGTCACGACCACAACATATGGCGTAGTCGGCAGGATTATGCTTGAATATTGGGGAAAATATAAATGTTGTGCATTTTGCTTAAATCATACTGTAAATTGTCTGTCTGTATACAAATGAATAAATGAATGATGATTTGGTTTTAATGGAATGAATGCAGATAGCAGATAGGGATTAGATATTTGTTTTTAAGGTATCTCTTGCTGTAGAACATAGTGATGAAATATTGTGTTGCTTGTTACGTTTTACCAATCTTTGGTCATTTTTATATATAAAAAAAAAAATATTTTACTTTTTGTCTGACCATGTGGGTTTCAATCCACCATTGACCACATGGTGTGAATGGGTTGAGGCCTAGTACCATTTGCATAGGTAAAGACTTTTCACTAAACCTGTTCACCAGGTTTTTATTGCTGGTTACTTGCTGTTTGTGTACAAATTTACATTTGTTTGGCATTCAAGGATTTGTTTAGTTGAAAAGATATTTGAACTAAACTGATTAAATTAGTAGTTAAGGAAAAAATAAGTTTAGCAAAGCAGATTGAGCGAATAATAGATTTATGTGAGCGTGTACATAGAATATTAGTATGGATATATATATATATGATTATGACTCATGAAGGAAAGACCACTTCAATTTAACAGCTGTGTGAACATGTAGTGTACATCCTAGTCAAAACAGTGAAGCACATGTTTGGGGGATGGTTGGTGATGTAAGAGACCATCCTTTTCAGCTACAGCTGGGGGAGAATTTGTCCTTGTTAGGGGTGGGTAGTCTTTTGTATGAGAAAATAAACTGCATAGTAAAGGATGCATTTTTGTAAATGTAATTGCCTAAACTAATCAATTTGTGGAGTGTTTTTCAGCTTTTATATCCAGGAATAAGGAATTACAGGATATGTGTTCAGGAACTGGTAACAAATGAACAGAAAAAAAAAATGGTAAAATAATTCCTTGGTGTCCTATTTGGTCTGGTTAGAATATTTTAACAAGTTAGCATTTTTAACAAAGTAAGTGTATGGGCTCAGATTGAGATTTATATTCTTTTAGAAGCCATCTATATAACTGATTTTAATATTTCCATCCTATGAATATACGTGTCCGGAGAAGGGGGAGCATACCCAATAGTTGTTGTGCAGTTCTATCCTGTATTTGAAATCTTGTATTACTTATAAGTAGCTGTAACGGACCGTTTTGCACACAAGGGGTAAAAACCGTTTAGGCGATCGGCCCCCTTTCCAGAGATACAGGCACAGCTACTGCAGAACACCAAACTCCCGGACTGGATACAAAATAGCACTCCAACTCCCGAACTGGAACCTCCCAAATAGCTGCTAGCAGACGAACAGGAAAAGCAGACAATCAGCTTACACTCCTGGCAATCAGTCTCTAACAGCATACAGTGAATCCCCCAAGAACGAGACAAGGCTCCGTGTTGAGGGTCAAGCAGTGGTCTGAGGTGCTGGCACACCCAGCCTGGTTTTTATTACAGTCTTGTAAATACAGGACCGCCCACAGGGAGGTATAAAACAACCAATCACATCACAGTTACATCCCACATATTCCCTCCCCTTATCCTGAGAGAAAACTCAATTACACATACAGTTAAAACATACTTTCTACCCAACTTTCATAACTCTAAAACCATACATCACATTCACATAAAATTACATATTTGGAATCAATCCATTCAGGGGAGCAACATATTAAAAATGGCACAAATCAGACAAGGGGTTCAAAAGTTAGTAAAAAGTCCTTTGTGACTAAATGAAGCATGGCTTTCTGGCCCAAACCAGTTTCAGAGTCTTCTATCCTGGAGAGTAATTCAATTATCTCCCAGGACAGACACAAGTCTCCATTAAGCACATGGTTGCAAAAAGACACAAAACACTTTAAAATACATAAAGTCACATTTATTACATAAAACACAGACATGTAACATATCCCCAGATAGCTCAGGTCCGAGCGCACATTATTAAGCCAATGGCGCTCAGACCACACGAATACAGTTTAATCGCCATGGAGCCAAAGTCTTTACAGTCAGTTTCATACGAATGGGCTCCATGGGATTCCTATCTGGGGTGTAACACATTCAAACAAATCTACCGAACCCCTGGCAGAAAAGCACGAATGAAGCTTTTCTGCAGGTAAAAAAAGATGTCTTTTAACAGGGGGCCATAGTCCAAAGGCAGCAGGCGAGCAACCAGGCTTCTCCAATGCAATGTGGCGAGATTGGTCTCGTCACAGTAGCCTTTTGTAACTTATTAGTAATAGTTTATATATATTGCTCTGGGAAAGGGATTTGCAAAATCTCTGAGAGACCAGGAAATATATAAAATAGGGACGTATTACAGTAGTGGTAGGGTGGCCTATCATGACCATAGAGACCCTTGGTGACTAGTTTTCATTGTATAGTGCCTGGGAAGGGGATAAGCTATTTAATAGAAATTCCTGAGAGACCAGGAAATATACAATAAGTGATACGTGAGTGTACTGGTTAAATTGCAGACATATTGGCCCATAACCTTTAATCAAGCCGGAAAAGAGGTTGCTGTATGTTTGAAACTCTATAATTTTGCGGGGGCAGTCACCCCCATGCGGAAAGCCACTGCCACCACAGGGTGGATAGTTGTGCAGGCCCGTTAGCCGCGAGGTGCAGACATGTCCGTGGAAAGGCTAAAAATTAATAGGGAGTCACTCATAGCTGTCAGAAGTGTTGAACTTTGAGACATAATGACCTATAGTCTTTCATCAGAGGCGGAAGAGGTGTTGTGGTTCACTCCTCTATAATTTATCCAAAGGGTGGAGAGTTATTAAACATGTTTAAGTTGACTAGAAATTAGTTTTGTGTACTCCTGAATTGCAAGGAAGATGCAGAAAGCAGCTATTAGCTGATTGTTTATTTTAAGAGCCAAGTAGAAAATTAAGAAAGTTACCTTGTTGAACAAATTGTTTATAAAATGAAAAGTTTAAGGAATGTATTTATATATGTATATATGCTAATTTAAGATTATTTGCAGTATACGCTATAAGTGACAAGGAAAAGTAATCCTGATCTGTTTTCTTACCTTTTTCAGATATAGCAGAAACCAGGGGTGGACATTGAATCACAGATAGAATACCAGATGGAGACCAGTGTTTAAATGTTGACCTATGATTAGCTATTGAATGTGTTTTATTTTATTGTGTCTATTTAACATGTCTGCTATGATTTTGTGCATACTATTCTCTTATTTTTAATGATTGTATTGCAATTGAAAACTTGATGTATTGTTGTTGCATGTATGTATGTATGTATGTATGCTTGCTTGCCTGGGAAAGGGGGAATTGACCCATAGGGACCAGGGGGTATTTGTGTAAACAAAACTGGGGTGGGAGGGCTCCAACGAGGGAACCCCATTGTCCAGTAGGTGCTTGATTTGTGACTCTGTAAAGTGCATGAGTGGACGGAAGAGTGATAAGAGGGATAAGAGAAAGTACGCATTTAGGGTTATCTATACATGTTTAAATAGAAGGGTGGTAAATTGGAATTTATTTTGTTTTGGTGGGTGTTTAGGTTAAATTGGTTAAATACGACAGTGATATTGTGTTTATCTGTGAATCAGGAGTGCGCTGGATGTGAAGAGAGAATTCTCAGGAGGTGTGTAGGTATTTACCTAACGCCATAGGGTAAATATAGTTAAGACACCACAGTCAAATAATACTTGTGATAATTGGCATAAAGTCATCTGCCATTTATGTTTGTGTACGTCATTGCCTGTGTTTTCATTCAAGAACTTTCCAGCAAGGATCTTTTTTATTGCAACTCATGAACTAGAAGAAGAAGAAGCTCTGGACACTCTATACTCAATTGTTGAAGAAAAATATTGCAGCTGAGAGTGATGAGAGTAGGGACAAAATGCATCAGGAGCAGGAAACTGTGTTACGTCAAGGTGGTAAACGGAATGTGACCACAAAAGTCCCTGAACACATGAAATGTTTTTATGAGAAGAAATACTGAAGCTGAGAGTGATGGGAGTAGGTAAAATAATATATCCAGAGCAGGATACTGTGACAAGTGACCACAAAACACACAAAAGTCCCTGCACACATGAACTGTTGTTTTACAAAATCCTACGTCCTTGTTTGCTCATATTATTTCATTCATCCCTGTCTACATGTGTATGTTCTATGAGACTGTCCAAGAAGGGAGTATCCAGTTTCCAGAACTAATGTTTGTGAAAATGCCAGGCACACAGAACAGCCATGGGCTACAGAAAACGAGCTCCAGTGACTGTCCATCTGTGTCATGATTCACAGGTGTTATAGGTTGGTCATGTCTAATGCTATATTAAGCTCCAAAACACATCCTGACATGAACACAATATCATTGGTTAAACTAATAAAACATGGTTTGAGTTGTTCATTATTATAAGGGTGGGTATGTGCCTACTTTAGGCCAAGGTTTCCCAACTGGTAATGCATGTGCTCAATGGTGAACATTTATATAAGCAATAAAATGTTAATGGGTAATAATAAATTGGTATCGTTCTTCAAAAGGTGGGTTTTGTTGTAGGGCAGGTAGTGTTAAAATGGGGAAGATTCAAAATTTACTGGTTTTATAAATGCTTGTTTTATGACATAAGTCAAAGGGTGGTTTGTAATGGTATTTATTAATTAATGACTTTACATCATAAAGAAAGCATATTTAGTGTAATGCTTTGGGGGCACCACTAGGGGCAGTGTGTAGGAAGACATGTGCTTCTGGCAGTGACATCACAGGCCAGCCTACTTACACTGAATAAAAACCAGATGTAGGAGAAACTCTGTTTCTTTTTGCCTGTACCTGACTGATCATGTAGTACCAGCTCTGACTTAGCCCCAGCCCTTTGGCTGGGGCCTTGTAAGTAATATGAATCCATTGTAACATTTAGCAATTGTAATAGCCTTTTGTATAATATTTAGCAACCAATAGCGTTTTGTGTAGTATTGTATTGTATAATTATTGTGGTAAATTGACATTCCGCTAGCATCTGTTTATTTATTATAGTTATATTAAATATACATTTAATATTACAACGTTTTGTGTATTTTCTATCCACATATTCGACCATAATACCATGAATTATAAAAATATTAATGTTGTTCCGTATTGCTTAATTATTATGTATTAAGAGAATATTCATATTTAAGTCACGACCACAACATAGAATATTTTGTTATACAGTATCTGATCATATCAGTCCAAGTAGTCCAACAAGGAAAAAACATATTTCATACATATAGATTTGAAAATGTAGAACAATGGAAAACAAGAAAGAAAGAGAGTGAATGATGGAATAAAATCATATAATCAAGCTGCCATTTTGTGTTCATCCGTCATTTTGATATTTACTATTCAGAATTGCTTAGAAATACTATTTAAATAAAATATGTATAATCTTTTGCCTAAACCTAATCTCAACAGATGTTTCCTTTAGAATATGAATACTTTAAAAATAAGGAACTTACTAAATCACAACTCTTCCTGACCTGTTTGCTAATTTTGCCAAGTCTGAATTTAGGCAATGAACTATAAACAAACCATGTCTGTAGACAATGAGTAATTTTTTTACAGTTATCCAAATGTGATGTAATGTGACATGATAAGATACCTATATAATCTGGTCTGTTGTACCAATAGACTCAGAATTGATTTGGACCTCACAGTGTGACTGAGTCAATTATCTAGGCCAGTAAATGTGATGTGCTGATTGGAATTACTGAAATACAGACTGCAGCTGTTCATTTCAATCCCCAGTGGAAAGAACCCTAACAGTCTGCAAAGAAAAAGTAACACAAAAAAAAAAGAAAGAAAACAAATATAACCTGTAAAGTCCTACATGTACGAGAATAATGAACACAAACTGTAATTGTGAGTATTTGAGTAGATGTTTAATAACGAAGAACTGGAAATACATAATGCATTGCATTCACATGATTGAAACATAGAAGATGAAATCTGATCTTCTTTATCAATTAGAAGATTATCAAGCTCGAGCATTAAGCTTTGTTCTGCACTGCTATAGGCAACTGCACGGATATGTTCATACATACTACCTGCCTTGTTGTGTTACACCATTTACCTTGTGAGAGTGACATTCTAAATTTTTGGCACAATATATGCAAGGCACCTCATTGGTTCAAATTCAATTATTCTCTGTGTCTTTTATTGCTAATCGGGGAGCTTGCATGGGGTTAACATTGTTTAAGTGAGCAGTGGTAGGGTTTGGTGGTGGGTCCCTGACAACTACACAATTAGTACTCATACAGCCTGCACAATGCTAACACTGTTAAACCCAGGAATATTTAGCCATCAAGGAACAAACATGAGTGCTTCTCCCACTGTGCTCTGAGCTGTGAGCCTAACATCTGTAAAGCCTCAACTGTACACACGTATGCAGATGACAACATAATCTACACTTGCAAACCAAATCTACCACATCTTGAGGATGTGCTCCAAGCCCAGCTCACTGATGTAGAAAAATGGATCATAGATAAAAAAAAAAAAAACTTTTCCTAAACATTGAAAAAACTGTCACAATGATCTTTGGAACTGTACCTAAATCACATAAATTACAAAATTCCCACCTATACATCAGAGCAAAATCAAATAGCCCACTCTTTCAAATATCTATGTATATTCCTAGACCCCAACCTATCTTTTGACCTCCACATTTAAAAACTCTCATCAAAACTTTATCCAAAACTAGGTGCCCTGTTCAGAAACAGATTCTGCTCAAGGCCCACAGTGACCCACCACTGTGACATGTTAAATAGCTAAACTGGCTACATCTGGAATCCAGATGGTTTCAGCCTTCTGTTTACAAGCTTTTCTGGGAAGCTCCCACCCTACCTAAGTAGAATGCTTTGCCCAGCTGTTCACCCTCCTATAACCTCTGATCCAGCGCCAGCACCTTATTTAGTATACCACTATAAAAAATGAAAGTGACTCTATCCTCATTTTTCTACACTGCAATTATGGAATAACCTCAACGACACCTTCCTCCAGTTTAAAATCTCTCAAGAGATCTCTGTCAAGATATCTCAATACACCATCCACCTGTAATCAAGGTTGATTATATTTCTTACCTGCTCTGTGATAAATATATGTGTATTTTAATATTATTTTGTGGTTTTAATATTATATTGTACAATATTGTAACAATGCAATGTTTGTGGGTCCAGGAAAACAAGAAAAATCGGAATGTATCCCTCCTGGTATAATACTTTACAAATAAAATAAGTAAACAGACTACAGAGTACTTATTGAGCTACAATGACCTTTTTCAGTTTACACATATTGAACAGATCCCGGTTTCCATTACGGGCCAGCATCTGATCAGCCCAAAATTGAGGTCAGGAGATGGCGGAGGTATTAGACACCCAGTTGGGGTCTTTTTAAACCAGCCTTCCCCCTTAAAATGGTCTGGCACCTAATAATGTCAGGGATAAATGAAAGTATAAATTTGATGCTTTTCAAACTGGATTTGAGAGCACCAATTTAAGTTTCTGTTACAGCTAATTAGTTAAAATAGAGGCTTTAAATTTAGCGCCAGTAGACAGAATGTAGCCTTAAGTATTAACTGACACCTAGGCCGCCAGCCAGTCCTAACTGCACTAAAATAGCATCACATTAAATTCATTCACTGGACATGCAAGGCATTATGAGATGTCACATTATGAAATTCATGATAAGTTGAATTATTTGGCAATTATATTTGTATAAACCTGAACATATGGATGGGAAAGTAAATATAACTATTGGAACAAAATGTACAGAGCCAGCATAATGCAAAGTGTGGTAAATGTTATTTTTGTTACAGTCGCTGCATTTTGTTACTGGAGCAGTGTCAGTTTCAATGTTTTTAACACTTATGCTATTCTAATTAGACAAATATTTATCAAACTATGGCTTTCATAATAACAGAAATGTGCTCATTCTAGAATATAAATAGAAAATTAACAGGACTACAGTTAAGCAACAAAGTGCTACTTGATGTTTCATATATGCATTTATTCAAGAATATTTTCTGGTCTCAATGGACCTCATTCTGTCTGGTGCCATGATCAATTTAACAAGTGATGGCTAATTATCACAACCCCTTATTGCTCTGCAGAATATACAATTACACAAGAAATAATTTGCCAAATGACACAAATAAAAATCCATAGCTATCTATGGAGCCTCTGTGATATACGTACAGCAATAAGTGAAGAACTTTTCTAATAACTGATTATTAGATGTCCTGTTGGTGTGATGATACTCTACCTAACACTCAAATAATCAGATCAGCTCACCTACACAATGTGCAGATGGTGAAACAAAATGGTCCAATGAAAATCTCAAAATGTATTTGCATCATTTCTAAAAGCAACTTTAGGTTATCTCTTGCAAATTTACTCTGCGAATTGGCACCTCTCTTCTGTTTTACGTCTTCTTTGCCAGCTTTCTGATTTGAGTAATCTGCAACCTCTGAACTGCTCATCCACTCTTTTGAAATGCATCAATTACAATGAATCAACAAACTGAATGTGAAAGAATATTATGCCTGTGTTTTCAACGTGTATTGTTTTATAATCTGAACGCTTGAATATTGCAAATCGTTTAGCACCATGCGAACTTCATAACAATGGATGACTTATGATGTTTTTGCCCTTTTGAAACCACAGAAAGTTTTATATATACTGTATAAACAGGTTGATTTTTTGTTCTACGCCCTTTAAAAACTTGTTGTTACTTTAGTGTTTTACATAATTTTCTATTAATCCATTATTTGATCTTTTTCCATATAAATGGTTTTGCTTGCATCACTACCGGTACTATTGTCCTACGTGTACCTCATCTACCTATTGCTTGTAGGTCTGTTCTAATGCTTGATGGTGTGTTTCTATATGAATCAGTTACATTTTATGTCCCAGCAATTAGTCTTAGCCATTGTAAGTGCAACAAAGAAGCTTTTGTAGACGAAGCCTCTAACAATGTATTACACGCATTGAAATGAGCAATCACATTCTAGACTATCCTACCTGGCCATGAACATCTGAAAATGTGTTCTTTTAGCACAGCAGTATGAAAAGTTTGATATTTTGAGATTGGATAATCATTTGGTTCTTTTATACATTTTTGGATTGTAAACTGTATACTATTAAGGGGAATAAATACAGTAAATAAGGACACCATATTTAAAAGAAGAAAAACTACCACAACAAGAGGACATAGTCTTAAATTAGAGGGACAAAGCTTTAAAAATAATATCAGGAAGTATTACTTTATTGAGAGGGTAGTGGATGCATGGAATAGCCTTCCAGCTGAAGTGGTAGAGGTTAACACAGTAAAGGAGTTTAAGCATGCGTGGGATAGGCATAAGGCTATCTTAACTATAAGATAAGGCCAGGGACTAATGAAAGTATTTCGAAAATTGGGCAGACAAGATGGGCCGAATGGTTCTTATCTGCCGTCACATTCTATGTTTCTATTATCACAAAACATTAATTTCTAGTGAGGAGAAAACCAAATTAGCAGAATTCAGGTCCAAATAGGTAAGGGGAAAATTCTCTAGATATCCTGTATGTTCACTTTGCCAGTTTTAAATTCAATACTGGAATTATA